GCATGGATACAGCCAGAACACTAAAAGAATTTTAGTCTTGCAGAAACACAGCAGGCAACAGAAGCATTTCTGAATAAAACTCCAGTTCAGAAATAAGCGATACCTCTGTATGAACCATGTATATCTGAAAAGAAACGAAGCAGAAGAAGAATTTAAGAAAGTAATGGAAAAGGAAGGGTCTCCAATCATAACTGCGGAACCGCATGTGACCGATCCGATGACCTCGTAGCAGACAGCGCAGCGCCGAAGCGATTTGGATGGGACGTGTGTGCTCAGGACTGTGATCGAGTGGCCCATTTCCAGTTATGATTTTCTTGACAGAATCATCCATCACTGCTGCAGTCCTTGCTGCTCATTAACAGATGTTGTTTGGTCTCCACAGGGGGAGTGTGTGTGTATGGTTTGTATGGGCCAAAGATGAATGAATGACAATACAGATGGTCTTCTGACTGGGCCTTACTCTAGATTCGTAGTACCTCAGGAGTCTGTCATTGTGTGAATTGATGACAGAACTGCCAATAACCTTTGGCACTTGAAAGTCAAACTAAAAGATTTACTACTCCCTTTGCTAAGTACTAAACTATATAATATTATGACTTGGTTACTTTTTTTATTTTACAATCATGCCACCTGAAACAGTTTGTAGTGCTTGGCTTCTGGTAGACAGTAATTTATAAAATGTTCGTAGGTTTTGAAACTCAAAAGGAAGTAGGTATGAATCACTTTCAGTTTCCAGTAATCTTCCATGACCACATAGGATTATTTCCTAATAGGTATTTATAAAACTTTTAATGAAAGGAATTTGTTTCTGATTTGCTGAATGTAATAATAAAAGGATGAGTTTTTGAACTGATGTATAATATAATATATTATAAGTGATGAAAATTAAAATGTCATTAAAATTTGAAATAAAAAAGGACAAAATTTTAAAATTGAATTAAAATGAAGTTGCTATTTTCACTTTAACATGGGTTGGGCATTGTAAGTGGGCTTTGTCCAGACAGAGAAAAATGAAGTAAATACAGATTAGGAGTGAACTAGTTGTCCTTTTTGATGACATTGATTTCATACTGATCATCTGGAATGAGAAATCTTCTGGTTTTTACTTCAGCAACTCTTTCTCTACCCTCCCTTTGACTAGCATCCTATCAAGACATACTGTAAATTTAGATTTCAAATGCCCGGCTCTTCACAATCCTAAGGCTAGCCCCCAGTGATTAGCTTTTATGAAAATCAGAAAATACACTTTAGCAGTGTTTTTGGATGTCTTTTGAAATGTCTTGTGTAGTTTTCAGTAATAATTTTCCACTACGCTAGATTCTCTATTTCTTCTGAAAATAAAAAAAAATCTCCCATGGGACAACATTGAGCAGTAGTAGTTAGAGGCACCACATTTCAGCTCAGATCCCACATGAGCTGCTACTTCTGTGCCCCTTAGCACAACACTCAATTTGTTATAATAAATACTGTGATCTACTGCACAAATGAGTACTGTCCAGGTTGTCATTGTAAATGTTTGTACTTAACTTTCTTGGTTGATTCAACTAGATGAAGAAAGAATTAGTTAAAAAATAAATGAGATGATAACTGAATATACGGTACATCAATCCACCTTCAAATTGCCACTCCTACATATCACCAAGTTCCTTCTGAGGAGTTTCACACAATTTTGCATATTTTCGCCTCTGCATACCACCCTCTTAATAACACCACCTCTTCTTATAGCACTTTCAGTGTCTGTCCCACCAGGTGGGAAATCGAGGAGGACTCTACTTTTACTTTTACAAAGTGAGGCATCATGTCCTGGAAACACAGGAGTGCCATTTTAATCTACTGCCAATAATAATTTTCTTCTTTCTCATACTGTAGGTTTCTCTTACTATAGAAATTCTAGTAATACGTTTCTGAGTATCATTTGAACATGGTGCACAGCTCATTAAGACCAGCAGTAAAAGCAGTTAAAATAGGGTGAAAAGCAAATTAAAACAAAACTAGAACAAAATAGGAGTTAAAGTGTTGTTCTGTTACCATTATTTAGAAATGCCATATGCATTATTTGGAAATCTCAGCCACATACTGTATGTGAATACTTGGTCAGGATCTTTCAAATCTGTTTGTTCCAGTGCAATTTTGTCCACTAAATCCATTACACTGTGTAAAAAACATTAATTTATCCTTCTTATTAATTGTCTCTTTGTGTTTTCCTTAACATTTTACAGCCAATTTCTGAAAATTGTGAGCTAATTTTCCTGTAGGGTAGAATGATCTGAAGATCATGTCTGTTTTCATGAACAAAATTAATGTTAAGCTTGTCATTGTTGAAACTGAATGAATGAAAATGAGCTCTGCTAAAAACAAGAGGAATACATTTGCAAAATACCAAAATAGACTAAATCTGACTGATATTTTAAAGCTGGAAAATGACCTTTTAAAGACAACCTAGGTCACAGCTTGCCTTCAAAATCAATTAATCTGCTTATATACATTTTTTTCATATTCTTGCCACATTCATGTGCAAATAATTTGCTTTCCCTATCTGTTTACTTCTGTTTTTTATTTATCCATTTATACTAAAAATGAAATCAAGGTCAGCATAAGATGACTGCAAATATTCATTAAAATTCACTGTAATGCAAATTCCAGTGAAATGAGAGCAGCATGCAGACAGGACTCTGACAACCCAAACAATGTATGTGCAGCTGTGAAAATCTGGGCCTAAAGCAAGAGTATAATGTATAAGTAGTAGGCAGAGGACTGAGGAAACACTTTGCAGGTTTCTTTTTTTTTTAAACATAGCTCAGCGTTTTAACTTGGAAAAAGATACTAAGAGGCCGAAGAGGCAAATTTATCAAGCTTTAAAAATATTTCTCTTCTGCTCTTGGATTCAAAATGAACTTTTTTTGTCACAGTTCTATTAACTAATACAGTTATCCATGACAACCTTTTTAAACTACAATTACGGGGCCTAAAAAGCACAATACAAATGCTACATGCTGTATAGCGGTATAGCAGTTTAGAATTCAGTAATGTTTAAGACATTATGCAGTATGCAGAACAATACAAGGAGAAAAAATCCCCTTTTGTAAGTTTAAATGATAATGATGCAGCATGCCTAGAAAAGAAGTACAATTAAACAGTAATTGAGAAGACCACATTAGCACCGTGGGAAGGCAACAATGGAGCTACATCCTGAGATATGTTTTCTATTACAGCCATATTAGATTTTGAAGTGTACATTTCTCAAAAATGTAAGCGGTATTGCTGTAATTGAGATTGCTTCAATGCAGGTAATGAGCTGTCTGTCTCATGAAATTTAAATGCTTGTGAAGGGATACCCTCCCCTTTTAAAGCTCCTGTTTTTAGAAAGAAAAGTGCTTACAATGTGTAGAGGAGCAATTAAAGTACAAAAAACAGATGGGGAGAACTTTGTAATTTTTTCTTTATCATTTTCTATAGCATTTATGCATACGAAATATAACTATTAGAAATTATATATTAAAATGATATATTCGCAAATTCCTCGTTTTGCTGTTTAGAAAGGGCTGGAATCTGTTGCACAAATAAAGATAGGTGGTGACAAGTAGATGTAAATCTACTGATATTTTTATTGTTAGCAGTACTGGGGCTCCACAGGGGACTGTCCTTGCTCCATTCCTGTTCTCTTTTTACACCTCTGACTTCAGGTACAACTCTGAGACATGTCATCTGCAGACGTTTTCGGATGACTCTGCAATTGTGGGGTGTATCAGAGAGGGGAGGGAGGAGGAATATAGGAGCTTGATTACCAGTTTTGTGGAGTGGTGTCATCTTAACCATCTCCAGCTTAACACCAGCAAGACCAAATAAATTATCTTTGACTTTCAAAGGAATAAGTCTCCGCTGAACCCTGTTTCCATCCAGGGTGAGGACAAAGAGGGCGTACATTCCTACAAGTACTTAGGGGTACACCTGGATGATAAGCTGGAGTGGTCTGGTAACACTGACGCCCTGTACAAGAAAGGTCAGAACCAACTCTATTTTCTTAGGAGACTCAGGTCCTTTGGTGTGTGTGGAACACTGCTACACATTTTTTATGAATCAGTGGTGGTGGCGGCCATCTTCTATGCTGTTGTGTGCTGGGGCAGGAGCATCATGACAAAAGATGCAAATAGGCTCAATAAACTTATCAAGAAGGCTGGCACTGTTTTGGGGATGAGCCTTGACCCCATGGAGGTGGTGGCTGAGAGGAGAATGCTGACCAAGCTCACAGCCATCATGAACAACACCTCTCATCCGCTTCATGGGACTGTTACTTGGCAGCGAAGCATAATTTAGCAATAGACTGCTCCAGCTACGGTGTTCAAGGGAACGTTTCCACAGGTCTTTCCTCCCGGCGGCTGTCAGGGTGTATAACGCTGCCCTAGGCTAGGGCTGTTAGCCCTTCATTTGCTCCTCTGTGGACAGCATGTTTACTCCATTGTACTTTTTTAGACAGTCTGTATATACCTATGCACATTTTGCACATATTTTATTGTTTTTACAGTGACTATGATCAGCACATTTTTCACACACCTATGTATTCTTATTTATTTTGTTGTCTTTTGTTTGATAACTATTCTGATGTCTGTTTTGCTTGTCTTGGGCTGGACTGCTGTAACACATCAATTTCCCTACGGGATTAATAAAGTATTATCTATCTATCTATGTTGATTTTTCTTTCAGAATTAGGCATTTTTTCATATGTATCCTTGCACTCAATTCAATTTTAGTTCACTTTTAGCTGTCCATTCAGTGGGTCTGTTGATTTCACAGGAATCACCAATTGTCTTTGACTGTAGATGACTTCTTCATCTACTTTTGAGCAGTATGAAAACCTTGCCAGTGTTTCCTTAATCTCTACAATCTGTGTTCAATGCATTTTTGAGGTGTTAGCCTCCGCATTTTAAACACAGACCTGTAGTCATGCGACATGCTTTAGGTGACTTTTCTAATGTTCCTGTAATGTACTTTTCTTCCACTAGCCTGTGAAGTGGGGTTTTACAAACCCGCAGCTGGGGACCAAATCTGCGGAAAGTGCCCCCTTCACAGCCACTCTGAAATGAGGGCGGCCCTCTTTTGCCCCTGCGACACCAGCTATTACCGTGCTCCTTCAGATTCGCCGGCTGCCCCTTGCACAAGTGAGTACTCATACCAGGCTGGGAGGGGATTCAGTCACATACTATTCATGGTAGAAGGAACAGCAGTACACAACACCATCGAACAGACACTCACTCAGGCACCTTATTCTACAATAACAAAATCACTTCTTGGAAAGGATTATTTATTTTATTTACTGTATATCCCATGACCAACCAATTCAGACTCACTTTTTGTTTTACGACTATCCTCTTTAACAGCATCACACAAAAATTAACTTGGTAGATATGTCTTGGTCATTTTTGTATTTGTGACTTGTTTTTATATTTTTAGAAGTCTTCCATGCCATGTTCTGTGTATTATGTCTCTTTACTCTAGCTTTATCTCAAATTTTCATATCACAGTCAATTTAGTTTTAGTTGTCACAGACAGTGAAAATAAAAGATGTTCACAATCTGGGGGATTTTTTTTTAATTGTCCAATTTACTTTAAAACATTGCAAGACATACTGAATTATGCTAAAAGTATGTTTGAAAACAAAAATGTATTTTCTGGACTTCAGTACATTGTGGTGACTTGGAATATTGCAGCATATGCTTAGATTGTGTCAAATTTACTGTATGTTTATACATTTAATGTAAGATTCCTCATATTTCTTTGTTTTGCAAATGTTAAAACTATTTTACAAAAAGAGAATTGAACTTCATTCAAAGATGACCATGTGGAAGCCCTCAAGACATAGAATACCAAACCTGTTTTTTTTTTTTTCAAATCTGCTCTACTACTGTACATCTAAACATTACTGCTAGTGATGAATTAATCAATGCATAAAAATGTATATGCTGGTATGTTTAAGTATTTCAGTATATGAAAAGCTGTACTGTAAGTTGATTGACCCATCCTCACATAAAAAGAGAATTGATCATTTTGCTCTTCAACTCAGTTACACACATACTGTAACATGTTCACAAATGTAGTATTTTATTTTAGTAGCAGAGGATAATGCCAAATTATGAGATGATTATGAGATACTGTTCTGAAAAAAGGCATTTTTAGGACCCTGAAACAAGCTGGAAAATGTTTTATTTCTGTCTCTGTCTGTATCATTATAAAAATGATAAGTCCTATTTTTTTATCACAGTTGTTTCTAAAATGGTGCGAAAGATTTGTTTGCAGCAAATTGTCATGTGTTTAGAGCGGATTCCAGTCTTTTCAATCTGTTTGTTATGAAACTGGAAAAGCCTAAAAAACAGTACTTGAGCCAAATGATGTCAGGTTGAGGCAGAAAAGGAAATACTACCATAGCTTTTAGCCACTGACTACAAGTAAATGCTTCTGTACTCCGATTTAAAAAAAAATATATCAAGAAGCTTAATGAGTCACTTGGAAACAATTCCATTTCCAGTAAGCAAATAGACAGCAGTTAAAAGTCTTATTTTTGTGAAGTATTGCTCATTTTACTATGAAATTAAGTGCTAAATTGGAAAGCTACAGGTTTTCTTTGCAAAAGCAAAAATGAAAAGAAAAACTAAACTTGCATACCCCACGATGTGTGCTGAGCCATTCTTTAGTATTCTTTAATGACATTTCATCAAAAAGGCTTAAGTGCAGCAAAAGAGTGAAGTGCAAAGTACAGTGGACATAACCTCAGCAAGGATTATGAAATATATACAGTATATATATGCTCTTGAAAGCAACAAACAACTTTAGTATGTGATTACTCAATAATGTTAGAATACCTGGATAATTGCCTCTCCATTATGTAGGTCCAGTATATTTGTGTAATGTTTCGAGAACACCAATGCATAACTGATCATTTAGTAAACAGAAATGGGGCCATTTAAAGTGCCTGTGTCAAAAACAGCTGTACCCCATCAGGATTTCAACACAGACCAGCTTACTAGCATCTTCCACTTCAGAGCCACAGAGCAGGACTCACAGACAGTGCAGCATTCCCTGAACACCCAGAGACAGAGCCTGTCACCAGGGTAGATTTCAGCACTTTCGAGGTTTCATGGATAGAAGATTACTGATACTGTGCTTGCTCCAAAAAAATCAATTTTATACCTTTTGTGCTGGAAACTTATATATTTCAGTATACAGTACATGCACAGTGACATTCATATTTGGTGAATCTATAGTTACATTGAAGAAAATACCATGGCCTCCAGATTTATTAATACCCCTGCTGAAATAAACATCAAATAACAGAAAGATATATAGAAAGGGTAATGTTCCTTCCTTAAATACATATAAAAATGTTATGCAGTAATCTAAATAGCATTGTGCAAAGCAAAGTCATACATGTCATGGATAATTTATGTTCAGAAAACACAAAGGTCACACCCCTGTAGTTAGTGTTTTGTAAATCCTCCTCTGGCAGGGATTACTCTGTACTATCTGTTGCTGCACACTAGAGTGGACATTTAAGGACAATCCTCCAACCAAAATTGCCTTTTGGATGTCCTTCAGATTCTTTGGCTTCCATTAATCAGCTGCCATCCTGAGTTAGAATCACAATTGTTCAATTGGATTGAGGCCTGGAGATTGAAAAGGACAGTCAAAAGCATTTACTTTGTGTGCAGTTAATTATTCCTTTGTTGAAACTCAGTGTTGGAAAGTGCAGTCACTTCTTCTTAATTCCCAAACAGGGCCTCCCTCTACTCCAGTCAATGTGATTTCATCTGTCAACGGGACCTCTGTTAGCCTGGAGTGGGGCCGGCCACTGGACACGGGCGGGCGAAGCGACATCCGATACAATGTGGGGTGCTGGAAGTGTGCTGGGGACTGGGGGCAGTGCGAGGACTGCAGCACAGGGGCAGGAGGGGGAGGTGGAGGAGGGGTCATCCCCCCTATTCGCTTTGTGCCCCAGCAGGCGGGTCTAAATGAGCCCTGGGTGACAGTGCTGAACCTGGGCGCTCACATGAACTACACTTTCTACATCGAGGCCTACAATGGCGTCTCCCATCTCAGCCTGGATCCAAAGCAGCGTGCCTCTGTCAACGTCACCACAAACCAGGCAGGTAGGGGATACTACGCCAGACAGACATGCAAGGGTAATCGCGCATTTCTTTCTTTTAATAAACATGCTTGACATTTGACCCCAGAAAAGAGGTACATAGCCCATTGACTAAAATCAACTACAGGTCTACCGAGCAAAGCTAGTCTTCCTGAGCAGAGTTAGTCTTTCACAACTATATCTAATAATGATGCAATAAAATGATTGTGTTGTATGTTTAATTTGTTTTACTTAATCCCATATGGATATGAGACCACATTATGTCATTTATTCTCTCACTGACATGTGGTGTCATTTTTTAAAATCCCTTTCATAGATACAGTTAGTTTGTTGCACCCTTCAGTTATTTCTTAAATCATTACAATTTTAAGTTCCATCGCATGATAAAGCAAGCAACATTGCATATTAAAGGAACAAGTAAAGGTTTATTCCATGCTGAAAAGAGAAGAAAAGAAATACAATGTTTTGGCTGTGGTGCCTTCTTCAGGTGTGAGAGAGAGAAGAAAACCAGCAGCTGATAAAGCGTGGGAGAGGAAAAACCCGGAGTGTAGAGGAGGCAGGAGCAGGAGAGAAGCAGAGTGGGCACTCAGGTGGTGGAAAGTCGAGTGAGGTGAAGAGGGTATAAAGTCAAACCCTGCAAATGAATAGGAAGGAATAGAAGGAAACGAGTCTGCCGTTGAGACAAGGGGGAAGGTGTGATCCTTGTTTTAGGATGTCTTTCTGCAATAAGAATTCCAAAACCCCACTTTGAGAACACAGACGGAGAGATCAGTATGGTCATGGTGTAACAGGAGCCGGTTCAGACTCCCGTGTAGTGCGTATTTAGGACCCTATGCAGATGGTAAAGTCTGGAGGAGATTGGAGAACGGCAACAGGGAAACATGACAGGATCAGGATGGGACGACTGACAGGGGGGCGTGACGGCAGTGTTCCGGTGCTCGGGGGGCGTGGCACAGGCAAACAAGCCCAGAACAATCCTGAAGGGGAAACCAGGTAGAAGTCCAAAGTCTATTGCTGGGAGATCCATCCAAACAGACACAGCAACGGGGACCAGGAATCAGGAACACAGTAAAATCATAATGGAGCCAGGTGCTCTGTGCCCCGGACCCAGTTGGTCAGGATGCCTGGGAATAAGACCTGTCCTCGGGCTACCAGCGAGCCCGGGGAATTGGCAAGCCTCGTGGCATCCATCCTCCAATACCAAGCCCTGAAGCCTGGAGACGCCAAACTTAAGTAGGGACAGGAAAATAGGAGACACATGCACGTAATATTGAAACTAAAATACAAAAAGGTTGGAGCGCCCTCTAGAGGATGGATGACGACTGTGACACATGGATGTTAGAGGTGAAATGAGAAACTATGGACTTGGAGAGATTTTCTTTCTTTTACTGTCAGAATGCTCATTGGGCATTGGACTGTGGGTTGTCTGCCTGTCATTAATGCCATTGGTCTTGTTGGACTGTGAACAGGAGTCACTGGAGGACTGACAGTAAGTCATGTCCTGCTCTGTTCTGCAGCTCCCTCTCAGGTCATCGCAATCCGGCAGGAAAACGCCAGCCAGAACAGTGTCACCCTGCTGTGGCATGAGCCAGACCAGCCCAATGGCGTCATTCTGGAGTACGAGATCAAATACTATGAGAAGGTAACTGACAACCTGCCAGTGGTGGTGAAGAGAGATTAGGGATAGACCCATTAAGTTATAATTTATCCGAATCAACTGTCATTTTAAGATCATATATAAACCTGGAGAAACACAAAGCTTTAAAGTTGAATTGCTTCTTTAACAAATCTCTGCTCTTCAGTTCCATTAACAGTAGTCTGTAGCAGAGTTAAGATGTTTTAAAACATAAAGATTAGGTGTTTAGGAAAGAGCAGCATTCAATTTAATAATCACCACCTTTTTAGCGTTATTCAATAAAACAATAAATATGCTTCTCTCCCTTATGTTGACTAATGACACAAGGCAGTTTTAGTTTCAAGAATAAACCATAACTACAAAAAATTAATTATCTGTCAATTATCTAATTTCACTGCTTTAAACAATAGGTGACTAGATTGACCAAAAACACTACTTTAGCTTGACAAAAAAATTGCAATAATAAAACAAAAAGGGAAGTTGTGTGTAACATTGCTAAGGATATACAATAAGGAGTACGGTATACTGTAGCATAAGATAGACTAGGATATACTGTAGGATTCACTTCTTTACACTTACAGTAGTGTGCATTTGAAAAAAAAGTAACTATATTGTGGAAGTTGGATGTTATAGAATAAAAGCGCCACTGTACTGTATAACTGTAATTAATCAGCAACTAGTAACAAACTGGAAGGACTTCTCACGTTTTGCTTACATTCTTTTCCACTCAATCACTGACTCTCATTCGCTACTCATGAATGTTGTCAAAGCTAAAACTATGGTGTTTGTCAAAAAACGGCTTTGCAATCCTTAGACGCAACCAAAAAAACTAAATGGGCAAATCTCATCTATAATCAGTCTGTAACTACAGTACTAATGATTCAGTTTTGTTTCCCCTTTTACTTTAAAGAAGCAATAACAGAGATTATACATGTTGTAATTAAGAAATTAACAACAATATGAAAACATTTTGCAGCCGTAATGCCTTGTCATGGCAGTACCAAGAAAAAAATAACTATGGCTTAGTGACACATTTTCTCTAAACCCTTGTCCTGCTAATGGCTACAAGAGAGCTAAACTGTGCTTAAGAATTAGCTTACAGTAGATGTTCAACAAGACTGCAATGTAAATAAGGTTTAATTTCCATTTGTCAAGCTCTTTTCATTGTCAAGGTCTCTAGGGGCAGATATTGGAATGAATTTGTTATTAAATAGCAGCTTCACTTGCTCTACAGCAGTCCCATTTTCTGTTCTCTGCACTTTGGTGGTGTTAGAGAAACCTGACTGGACCTGCCAATGCTGTGACTTATACATTCATGTCTCAATCCCTCCCCCCAAGGTACTGACATTAGTAAAATATGTTAACCATGGCAGCAGTGAGGCAGCCCAAAGTAGGATTTTTTTTAAGATCACTTTATTGGCCATATACAATTTCTTGTATTAGGAATTTGTCTATTCACATACCCCAACTTGCTCTCCATGAGACACACAGACAGGGAGAGAAGCTGGGGGTCAGAGCACAGGGTCAGCCATTTATATGGCACTGCTGGAGCAGTTGGATTTAAGGGCATTGCTCAGGAGCCCAACGGAGTAGGATTCCTCTGCCGGTTGCAGGATACAAACCAGCAACCTTCCAGCCACAGACACAGATCCTCAGCCACATTGTCACCTCACCGCTGCTCATTGAATTGTATTATAGGAATTTTATTTATTCTATCCACTCTTCATTATTCATTGTTATAAAGAAAATCACACAACATAAGTGTTAATGTATTAAACTTATTGTTTCATAAACGGTTTTAGGTTTAGTTTTCTAAAAACTGACATTTTACAGTATGTGAAAAGGTGAAAAGGTGCATATGACTGTCAGTTTGAAATAAATTGTTTTCTGTAACAGAAACTGAAGCAACCAATTTCTTTTCCCAGATTTCAGGTTATTTTTTAAAATATAGCTTCATTTAAAAACAACAGCATAGTGACTAAGAAGTAATAGTACTTTGTATTGCATGCCTTTTATTTGCCTACCAATTTGTCCATACATGTGTAATAAAGGCTAGAAAGGGGGAGAGACCACTGACTTCTTCAGGCTCTTTTAATTTCGTGTGCCTTACTGCACTCATGTTTCTTGAAGGGACTTAATGAAAAGCTTCAACAACCTGGCAGGGTATCTTCTTGCAGACTCCCACAACCGTTTGTGTAAAGAAGAGCCTCCTCAACCTTAAATGCACTTCATCTTCTTTCCTTAATTTCTCTAGTCTATTTCACTGTTGATACAACAGAACTCTATTGACCTGCCTGGTTTAAATAAAGAATCATATCTTGAAGGATTTTTTTTTGTATCAAGTTGTCCAGTAGTGTTAACTCTATTTATGTAACTCTTTCATGTTACTTTACTACACTATATATAATGCTACAGGTATTATTATTGTTTATTATTGATATAATTATTGCTCTTGTTGTTTTAATTTGTATTTTATTGTATTTCTATTAACTGGTTCTAATGGATATTAAGTAATAAAAATGGGAGATATTTTGTTCTCTGATGATTCAGAAGTAAAAATAAAAGTTCTAATTCATTTTAGTAGTCTGGAAATGAAAGTAGTATATTCAGAGCCTGAAAGACCTTCCATCTGAAGGAAGAGCTGAAGAGCTCACTGATCCGGGCTTTTGTCCTCATCCTCCTCTCTAGGATATGGAGCAGCAGAGTTACTCCACACTGAAGTCCAAAGGCACAAGCGCAAAGGTGTCCGGATTGAAACCGGGAACAAAGTACGTGTTCCAGGTCCGAGCAAGGACCTCCGCTGGCTGTGGGCGTTTCAGCCAGACTGTGGAGATCCAGACAGGTAAAGCAGGTGAGTTATAGAAAGCAGCAAGGGGGCAGCTGGTAATGCCTATGAAAACACTGATCAGTGTCCCTTAACAACTAGAGGCTTTTGTGCTTCTAACAGATAAGGTTCACGTGTTTTTTTTCTTTTCCACAGCGTCATTTTCATGGAAGTTATTTACTGAGGTTGGGGAGGGATAACGACAAGTCAGTCTCACACAGGTGTATAGTACCTAATCATCACCATTATGAAACCAGCTACATAAACTGAACATCAAACGCCTCCCTTCACATCCATCTAATCATCCCTTCTCCATCCCATCTCCACCTTGAAGCTGCCCCTGAAGTCACTCCTTCTGAATGGGGTTTGAGCCTCCTTGGTCTATGGCCAAGATGCCACCCATTAACCAAGCGGATTAAGCTAAACCAGTTCTCACCAAATACTCTATAAATTCACAATGCATTCAATTCTTGGATGTTGTTGTCACTAGTGAAATGCTTATTAGCTGAGAATGTGTGAAAAAAGTGTGGCAGAAAGATTACTGCAGAAATCTGATCTTTTTGTTCCATTTTAGTGAACGACAAACTTATTTAGTCACACAATCAGTGCTGCACATACTGGGAGTAATTTCCTCTCCCCCATAAAGGGACAATTTAGAGAGGCCAATCAAGTTTAACCTTCATATCATCCGGAGGTACAGTAGGAGAAAACCTGAGAGCAGGGCACCTCCTCACAGGCAGACACCCTGGAGCTAGGAGGTACTCGAAATGCCAAGAGGTTGATGCCACCTCTATTTCACAGCATGCAATCTCATTTCTTGTTAGTCGGTGGGGGGTGTTGTACATTATTCGGTTTTAAAATCCAGTAGAGAATGGTAGGATGCTGATTTCAAATGTAATATATCTTATTATGCATTGGCGTAATTGGCCTTGCCTTTTGAAAAGACAGCAAGAGCTTCATAATAGCATGAGATGCACTAATTAGAAAACCTAAAACTGTTAATGTGCTACAAAGGTGTAGATGTCAGATTCCTGCATCACAGAAGTCTGATTTTAGTTCCTTTTAAGCATTTCAGAATTGGGAAAACAATGAATTTACGCTCTCAACAGTACTGAATAACAATCTAATCACGTAATCTGAGACACAGTACAGATTTATTTCTCTCATCTCCTTTAGGAAATATACTTTATATTTTTTTTGTTTTGGAAACACAGTAGTTGTTTGTTTGTTTTTTTAGTAACCTCTAATGCCTAATCACCAGAAGTGGATTTATGCTATTGGTTTATTATCCTGAGAAAGGCTTTCAGTGGGATGACTGCAGTGGGAGCGATTATGTCTTTAAGGCTGCCTTTCCTGCAATTTATGCCAGACTCCCTTTCTGACTGTTGCTTTTTTCTGTTTAGTCTGATGGGTTGCCTTGTTTGGCAGAGCGGTCAACAGTGAGAAGACTCAGACATATTTCCATGGGGGACTTTTGCTAACCTGCTAAAAAGACACGTCTTCTGATAGGTTCAAATGACATAAAACAACAAAAAGTCAGGGCATTATTAATATCCCTACTGGGCTAAGACTATCATTACTAATACTATTACTATACACTTTTTATATTGGGTTTTACCAGTAGTTTGTGTCTAGTTTCATATGGTTTCAACACATGGTGATAAAGCATATATTCTATCAGTAGTTTGTAGCATGAGTTTACAGTCCTGGTCCTGGAGGAACACACACCTTCTCGTTTTCATTCCAACTCAGCATAATGACCTATTCGGAGCTCTCATTGAGCTAACATGTTGCTTGATTTCAATAGTTGCAAGTTAATTTTCTCTAAATGAACAAAACCTTTTGACCACTGCGTTTAATAAGTAAAATAATATTTCAAAAGCTTATGTTACTCATGAAATGCAGCAATTAAAAGGTGACCACTGACATTTTAAATAGCTGAAAAAAGCCAATTATTACAAATGAATCCTATAATAATTCTACAGGGGTTTCCTGAGGGGTTTTCAGTTGTGTAACTGAGAGCTTGACTGGAGCAATCAGTAGGTGTGTGTCTGGGCAGGAATGGTGCTCCTGGTCTATAGTACTGCCATGGTTCATTGTGGTAAGGCCCATTGAAAGAGTGTTTAAACCAGAGAAGAAACTATCGAATACCAATGTTCAAACCTTAGTGATAGTATGGCATACCAAGGGAAGTTTTCATAAAGACATTCAGCTACTGACTTAGGGTAATTGAAGTCTTTTGAAAAGCATTTGGTGGGATTTTGAAGAATTTTCATTCCAACTGTTTAAGTAGACTTGTCTTGAAGTTTTCTTTCATTGTTCACATCCTGACACATTCAAGATGTGATTGTCCATTCAGAGCAGCAGGGGTGTGCTCTCGAGGGCTGCTGTCTCAGTGACATAAGATGCAGCTGGCGGGAGAAAGCCCTTCTTCAACACCTGATGTGTCAGAAATGGTTACACATTCAGTCAGTATTTCTCCAGCTGCAGCTGTGAAGAGCTATAAACAGACAGTAGCCAGTGACGTGCTGGAATGGAGCTCACATCTATTGATTGCACTAGATGTGCATAAGTGTGCATAGATGTCAGCAGGCCAAAAACAAAAAGAAAAATACAGGCGCATTATATTAAAAGCTGTAACGTCATAGGTGATAAATATTTTTTAAAATTTTGCTGCTCAAAGATCAAATTCAAAGTCTTTTCCTACTTTTCAAGAAAATATGTCAAAGGTAATAATGATAAAAAATGCTTTATATTTAATAAAATATAGATTTTTACCAGAAATAGCAGTAGAAAGTGTAGTGCTCAGTAACAATGAACATTAAAAAAGTGGAATGTGGATTACTCAATAAGGCACTCACTCAGAAGCTATGTCATTAGCTGGCTGAAGATAGAATTCCCTAATATAGTATGTGATGCACCATTACCCAAATACCACATCAGAGTGTGTAGGATTCACACTGGTCAGACCTGGGACCTCCTGGGTACCTAAAGCTAAAGTACTGCGATCAGGGAGAGGAGTGCTGCTCCTCCAATCCATTCTAACTCTCTTATAAGGCTCTGTGTAGCACATTGGAGAACCACATACTGTATATAGGTTCTTATGTTCACTGTGCATTGCAAGGGAATTAGCATCAAAGTAATTTCAAACTTGGTGATGCAAAATCATTGAAACCTTAAAATTGAAGACTAAATACCAATAAAAGTCGTAGAAATAGAAGCTAAAGTAGATATAATAAGAGTATTTTAGTTTAATATTAAACTGATTACATTATTGATTAGTATTGTTTCATATAAAGAAGGCTATTATTTTTATGACTGCATTTGAAATCTCTGCTGGGTCTTTTAAAGTACAGCTGCACCATAAAGGACTTGTGTGATGATTTTTTTTTCAGTCCTGAAAGAAGGGAAAAATGTTATTAGTCTGGTAGTGATTTACGGATATGGGCTGTCTCAATCTTTATATTTTTGCAGTTCCTCTTCGATATGACACAATGACCATAATCTGGATCTGCATTGCACTCGTCACAGGATTGGTGATGTTCCTAGCCATTCTGATCTGCAAGAAAAGGCAAGATTAGTGAATTGTATCACCAGTCATTCTAACTATGTGTTGTATTGTCATCTTATTGTGTTGAGTGACTCTTCATATACTGTGGCTCACTGTCCATTGTGTACAAATGTGTAGCAGCCAGACCCTGCAATAATACGGCAGTCACAACCACATTTTTAAACCCCTGTTCCTCACATAATACTTTTTTAGTGGATTTCCACCTCATTGTCAAGTGACCTTTGTTGAACTTATGTTTCTGGAAGTAATTGGCTTGGCAGACAATAAAAGCAAACAACATCTACTGTACGATGGGAACTATTTCTTAGATGTTGTTTAAATCTTGGAATACTTGTACAAACATATTCTTAGATTATACTATTACTGCTATTATTATTGCTGTTATCAACTTATTTATCAAGTTTTAATACACTAACAATCTAAAAAATTAAATTAAGGATTTTTTTATTTTACCAATAAACTATATAAAACACCCCTTTATTGATTTGATGTCTGTAAAATGATTATTTCCATAATTCACTTATTTCTTTCAAAACAAAAGGCTATTATTCATTATATACTGTATAAAGGCTATTATTCATTATATACTGTAAGATATTTAGGTACTGTAGGTAGGTATTTACTTTTTAACTATTAACAATTGCAGATTATTTATTATTGGTGAATTTATTAAAAACTCAAGCTACTTCTGTATATTTATATACTTTACAGTCTCCAACAGTTATAAAAATAATGGGGTGTAAAGTGTCTGCAAATATCTGCTCCTCTTCCTTTGCAGTACTCCTGTTATATCATGTATATTTGGAGTTCCCAAATTCATATGACCAGCATAGTATACAACCAAAATGAAACCTCAAATTAAGAATGTTAGCAATAAAACAAAAAACATATAGATTTATAAAATAAATCACCTTTAACAGGGACCCAAACACCATTACTTTTTTTATTCTCGTTCAATTTTTTTTTTCAGTTTACCTGGGGACATCCTTGGAACATGTAGACAAGCCCTCAATGGAGATTTTGAATATATTAACTCTTCCTTAACTATAGACTATGCATTTATGCCATAGCAAAGCTAGTGATTGGCAGCAGCTGGGGTATGTCTTACTTCTGAATGTTTGTTACAAATCATAATTATCAGCCTTTTCCCTACAGGAATCATACACCTGATCTAGAGACGTTTTTTTTTTTCTGCTGCCTTTTGTGTGGGATTCCTGAAGGGGTCTTTCACAAAATTTACTGGATTCTCTAAGGATTCTTGCAACAAAGTTGGATGACAGATTGCTGAATACTGCTAGCATCCGAGATTTTTTTCATTCTGCTACAGGATCCTTGAAGGCGTGTTTTTTTGTGGGACATAAAATTATCAAGATGCCTTTCAGGTTTAATTAACTGGAATGCCCAAAGCAATAAGAGAAACTGAAACTAAAGGCCTTGTGCTGTCTTAAGAAGATGTACTGTATGTTCTTCACATACTGTATTATTAAGTTAAGAAAAAGTGTCATATTCAAAAGTACTCATATTCCACAGTAAGGAGAATGAGCAAAATTATATGTTTTTCTGAAGCTTTCTGCTTTTTATCATGTATATTCCAGGCACTGTGGCTATAGTAAAGCATTCCAGGAGCCCGATGAGGAAAAGATGCATTACCAGAATGGGCACAGTGGGTATTTCACTGTTCGTTACCACTTTCAATTTCATCTCCCTTGACAACACTGACCCATAAATTTCAGATATTCTTGCAGATAAACAACCCTTTGAGTCTCTTTACTTAAGCTTTTCAATGGGAGAGGGACATTTTTCTTCTTTATATCAGATCATAACTGTCCTATGGAAAAAATAATATAAGAGCATATAACCATAGTATTTTTTGTAGAACCTGTAGTTTTAGATTTAAGGTTTTTAATACAAAAACTACAATGCTTGTAATTAAGACTCTGTAGTAGATGCATTGTAATCAATACCTACTGTATATGAGAAGTTTTAACAATTACAGTCAACACTGTTCAGGCTAAGCTTACAGTTTAGTGAAAATGTTTAGAGTACTTCTTATTACTGCTCACTGCAGCTGCCTGTATTGCTATACTGTATCTAACCAAGCTATGTTGCATCACATATTTAAAGCACTAGCATGAGCTTATCATTCAAAGTCTAGGTCAAGTCATTGTTTTTGTTTTCCAATTCAACAGTTACCTTCCCAGAACCCAGGTTCTATATTGATCCCCACACTTATGAAGACCCGTGTCAAGCTGTCCACGAGTTTGCTAGGGAAATCGAAGCATCTAGAATAAAAATCGAAAAAATAATTGGCTCAGGTAAGTCTTGTGGCAAATAGCAGCACATTCTACATGAAGATCTGAGACAACTATAGTGTTTCCTTTTGCAACAGAGCAGATCACTTCAACAACACAGCTGTTTTTTACAAACTGCCATCAATGTCCTGCAAAAAGGCAGTCAGGTTCCATCATTTTAACTGTGTGTGTGGATCACAATTTTATTTAGGTAAACCCTAGTATTTCACAGAAGTTTGTGAGGAAGTGAAATTTTAATCTTGCACTTCCTTTCTCCTACATATAAATACTCGCTTCAACCCAACTTCACCCGTGCAGCTGCCTCCCTGGTTCACTCCTCATGATTTAAAGGAGTTTTTGGAGAGCCCTGAGTTTTGTCCAGCACTGTCATTTCCTCAATCAGAGTAGTTCAAATATTAAGTATGCTATTGCATCATATTTGTCAGCTTGTTTAATTGTTTTTAAAAATTGACCAATTTATTAAATTGATTTGGATGGAAGAAGAATGAAGTTCATGGGAGATAAATAATAGGCATCATCTATGGTTTAAAGGTTATGAAGCAGAATTTGCAAGCATTGTATTAGTAGGAAGAGTAGGAAGCAATTGAAGGCCTGTGCTTGGAAGGGAGGTTGCCTGCTATAACCCAAAGATCACTCATTCAAATATGGGCTAAGTCACTCATTGACTGTGAGCAGGATTTTCCAGTCATATAGTTTTGCTAAGCACTGCTGGGTCACAGTAGGGTTTTAAAATGGCAACAATGTCCTCTTTATGATACATCTAAATAACCCTGTGCTTTTCTAAGAACCTATGGGATTTACTGTTATTACTGACCAACTGCACCATACCGCCGACCGTATACCGTATGTTAGCTGTACTCACTACACTGTTGGTTTGCCTTGTGAATATACTGTAAGATGTACTGTACATGGAACTGTACATGCTGCAGAGCACTGGATTTTAGCCATATCCCTGTGTTTACCCTATATCATCTCATAATCAATTAATCTAATTGAACTCCAGATGATAAAATGTTTTACCAGACATTAAGAACTTGCATAGAGATAGTAAGTAGTATTAACTCATAAATAAAAACTAATAAAGTGTTTCATGCCTACCTTCATTTAAGTGTGTGGAATGCACATTCTTTGGTGTGTTCATTGGCAAAGTCACAATACTGTAGCACAGTGCCATTTCCATCTCTGTTCATCTTAAATTGGTCACCTACTCTGAGTTGTTCAGACAGAAATAAGGCAACATCCACTTCTTAGGCAAGTTGTGGGGAGAATGTACAGCATATTGTATACTGTAGTTGTAGTTGGATTTGATCAATTTCATTTCAATAGCAAACTTGAAGCTATGCCTAATCATCCAAGAGGTTCAATTAAACAAGAGATTTCCAACCCTGATCTGGGAATGCCCAAATCCAGGTAGTTCTAAAGGTTACCTGTGTTTAATGATTGGGAAGATTTGTGAGTTACAAATCAATTAAACAAGTAATCTGTTCACTTAAGATAACAGATCTTTATGGGCTGAAGTGTAATTTTGTACTTTTTGGTACAATCTCTGAATGACCCATTTTAACAATTGACATGCTGAATTGATCACAATGAAACTATTCCATGTCTCTAAAAATTAGTAATTTAATGGTGATCAACAAAAGCTGCTGGATTGGATCTTTGCAGCACCAAGGTTAGTGACACTGAAATGTCTGCTACTGCATGAAAGTTGTAGATGTGAGCAAAGTTAATTAATAATTAGTAAGTATAAAAATAAATCAAATTTTAAAAATGGAGGTTGCATTGGCTTAGTCTCCTGTAAAATAGTGAGTAACAACAACTTGCACCATGGTGAGCAAAGCTGAATTACAAATTTCAGACTTGAGAAATTCGGTAAGGTTCAGGCTTGTCACCGAATCCTGTTTTTTGTGTGTTTCCCAGGGGAGTTTGGAGAGGTTTGCTATGGCCGCATGAAACTTCCAGGGAAGAGGGAGATTCCAGTAGCTCTCAAGACACTGAAGTCAGGATACACGGAGAAGCAGCGCCGTGATTTTCTAAGCGAGGCCAGCATCATGGCGCAGTTCGATCACCCCAATATCATCCGCTTAGAAGGAGTAGTTACCAGAAGTAAGACATTTTGTATTAAATTACAAGAGTTTTTAGAAGAATAGGTTTTTAGGTTTTTGGTCATCTGAAGCACAATATACTGAGAGGCATTACACCCCCAACAAGCGTGTATTGGAACCAATAGCATTTGTTGTAAATTTAATGCATCACAGTATATTAATATCAGTGGTATGTCAGGCTGACTTTGTGCATCAATATTCCATCACTGCAGACTGTGCATTCTGATGATTTCTAGACAAACCATTTCTGTCTCACCTGCTGCTGAAGATATCAAGGAAACTCATGTCCACACTGATGTTTTTTTGTGAGAATCCAATGATTTTTGGGACATCCTAATTGGATCTTTTTAAATGTGTTTTTGTACTCCATTCCTGCTCTCTGTACTGCAGAAAGAAGAGTGGGGAAAATTAATTATTCTCAATATGTCCACAAGCTATGAAATAGTTAATCTGACCAAATAGAAAGACCATATTTCCCCAGAAAAAAACATTTCCCTAAGAAAGGTAAGGAAAATGTAATTCCAGACACAGACATTAGAACAGCTTACATACTGTACGTAATGTGAAATGCTCTGAAACACATTGCTGAATGTTGGATATGTAAGAAATCACAACTACCCACAAAAAGAAAATTATAACTCATTCTAATGATTTTGTGCAAGCATTGATTGAGTTTAGGTGAAAAGTGTTTTTTAACATGTGTCATAATTTCACATACTGTTCAGCTTTTTGAGAAAGAAAGCATTGCAAAGAAAGGTTTTACTGTCTACTTTTGTTCTTTTGGTGGTCTTTTTTAAGAGGACTTGTCTTTCTCTTTAGACCATATACAGTATGTCTTTCCTTGCTTGTCTAAAATGATAATTGTACAGTATATGGGATAGAGAACTTCTGATAGAGAAGCTGGACGATAGTCCTGATTGCAATATGTAATAACTCTATAGACCTAATATGGCATCAAATCTATATACCGTAAAATGTTAATATATACAGTGTATGAAACACCATAAGACTGTACCTAACCCTTACAGACACAGGATGGAGGGTCCTATGATAATTAACTACTAGGGGTAGGAAATGGAAGAGTGAGCAAGCACAGAAGTGGAGAGTATGCATCTCGGTGCCTCTCCAGCACACTGAGCAAGAGAAAAATGAGGAGAGAGCACCTGAATGCAAGACCCATCTGAAAGGGAAATAGAAAGGGTTCCATAATGAGTGTACTTATGTCCTGAACTCTAGGGAAAGAAAAAAATGGAGATAAACAGATTCCTTTAAAAGGCCTGAAAGATAGATCAGTGGCATCACAGGGGGTTATTCAGAGCCATTAGGAGTGTTTCATGTGGGTAAGTCCCTCAGCCACGATACCCAGAGCTTGAGATCTTCTCCAGCATGTACTGTATTGCAGAGTGGAGATGTAATTAAAAAAGAAAGATGAGCCAGGGCATCCCTATTGAGACTGCAAGTCCTTGGGTGACCATCCTCATTAGAAATATTTGTTAGAATGGGAAGCCCTCTGTTTCTTTAATAAGCAGAAGAGAAAGATGAATTGCATAAGGGGGTTATGATTATAGAGTTCTAGGATTTCTAATGAGCACTGTGTTGTAATTAAACACACTTTTAGGGGACCATGATGCTATCTAAAGTGTCTAGGGGGAGCACAAGTACACATTGAACCTGGAAGTATATATTGAGACCCAAGACTTAGTTCATGTGTTCAGTGTTCAGGTGGGCACAAAGATATAAACATCTCAAAATGTAAGAGACAGTGATCTCAAAACATCCCACAGCTGTATATCTGGTCAATGATGTCTGGCTTGTGTTAATGCCCACTAACATTGCTTACTTCTGTTTTATATCCTCAGTGCTTTGGTTGCTTTGTTCATATTTTGTTCATTTTCGTCTATTTTCAAAATGTGATCAAAATGTGTTTTAGAAATGCAAATAGTTTATATAAAGTTTAATATTGCAAGTCATTGAAAGATCAGCTAGAATGAAAGTCAGAGGTCACAGAATGTGCCTTAGACCAGGATTCAGAAACTGCTGTAAATTCTTCATAAATATGACACATATATTTAAATGTGAATATTTGGAATACTACAATATCCAGCATTTACTGGGGTTATAATTAGCATAATATCAGACAAAATACATATTTTTAAGAAATGATGCTCCTAAGTGTGAAAAATTGTGTATTACTAAAAGAGTTACATCATTAGATTTATTCTGATTTTGTCAATAATTGTTTGGGCTGATCAAAAGGTCTAAAAGCTGAACAAATGTGCTAACATCTTGTAAATAGTTAGTGAAGTGTTTTAACTAGCAGAGGACAAAATCTAGTACACAATACAGATGACTACATCTAAATAATACAATAAGAATGTAAATACAGAATATTCATAACTTTTAGCTTAGTGAGAATTGAGCAACAATATCTAAGTAGCAAATACATATGAGTCTTACATGTTTATTTCCATTTGGAGAAACTGAAGAACACATTGTCTCACACTGTGTGTGTACAATAAACATCTTAACCTTCTCTGATTAATGAAAAACAGTAAGTAAAGACAAAAAGACTGTTTTAAGCAATGTGGCCTTATACAGCATGATCCATGAACCTTGTTTACAGAATATAGAATAATTCTAAAAACATTTATACAGGAGGCCAACTGTAGAAATGGATCAGCAAAAATAAATGCTCTGTTCATCAGTGACTGTGCTGAGAAGGTTAATTCAGAAGCAGAGCTCTTCTGCTGTTTGCGGGATTCAGGAACTGTACCCCTTCCAGAGTCAGTGCCTCTGATGCACTGAAGGTTGCCACAGTGCTTCAGCAAGTGCAATGCTGTACACATTTAACATTGCCATAGTGTGGCCCTGAACATGAAATCAAATACGCACATATTTATAAAGTCCTTGTACATGCAAACAAAAGCATCAGAGCACAGGCAAAACTCTGCTCTTCTGCATTTAGCTGCATTTGTACTGAAAGTGATTATAGAACTTTTCATGGCAACCAATACTCTCTCCAGTTTCTGTTATGGGCAAGAGGTTTGAAACCTTAATAATCTCAACAATGTTCAGATGTGTATTATTGCATTACATTTTAAAGCACATTACAATTTCTAATGACTAAAAAGGCACTACTTTTCTTTTAAGGGGAGTTTCTTTTAAGAGGTAAATATATTGCTCAACACTTTGCAGGTGTTTCATGGAGTGGCTCCTGAATAAATACATATTGACAAGAAGTGGTTTGTTTCACTGATAGAATATGCCTACAGATGAGAAATATCCAGCATCAAGCAGAAGATTAACAAAAGATTTACATTGTTTGGAAAGCATTAAAAGCCAAGCTGTTTAGTAATCCTGAACAGTCAAGTGCAGCACTGAGGTCAGACTGAAAAATAAAGGAAGAAACAAACATGACAGTACAGAAAGGCAACTGTCCAAAGCAGGGGTCTCAATGGCAAATAGTGTGTATCCTGAAGGTTATACATCGAATTTTAATATGATCAGAATTCTAAATGAGCAATTAACTGGAGTTAAATTTAAGACTCAGAACTGTGATGTTTCCTCAGAACCGTGATGGCAGGCTCTTCTAATACACAATCATTCTGTAGCATTGCTACAGATCTGCTGATCTCAGAAGCTCAACAAGGCTAGCTCTGGTCAATACAGGGACATGAGACTATAAGTATGTTGAGTAGTAAAACACTGTAACTACTGTAGTGCTCATGTAAAGTTCATGATAGTAGAGGAATTAACCCTGGAGTCCTGGCTAAATAGCTTTGGGCCTCTACAGTCTGGTCTTTCTAAAGTGCCCCATGCTGACATGGGTGCTAGCTGGGTGCTAAATTTTAAAAGTGGGTGAAGTATTTTCCCTCCTAAATGTCAAATACTTGGGAGTTCTTGAGAATACAGAGCAGTGTAATTACTACTACTGTTAAACATATTAAACTGTTTTGGATTGTTAATATGTTTATTATTATATTAAGATTTAGTTTGTCTCATTATTAAGACTTTTAGGGTAGTCCAGGGCCCACTAGCCATGAATCAGAAGCACCAGTTTTTATGCTAACTGATCTTGAGAGGCATAGGAAAATATACTCCCTTCTTCTATAAGCCTTTAATGAGCCTGTAGGAAATGAGTCGAATGTGCTTTCTACATGACAACCCAACCCTGAAGTTTAACCATGCATAGCGGATTTTTATTTATTTTTTCCTCCTGACTTGATAATTTTGAACTTGAATGTGCTCAGTCTTGTCTACAGCGAATAACAAGGTCAAAGGAAAACCTCTTAGAAAATTATGTATCTGCTGTGTCCACCAGCAGGGACCTGATTACATTGTGAGATCAAATGTGTTGTCTCCCACAGGCAAACCAGTCATGATCATAACGGAGTACATGGAGAACGGCTCTCTGGATTCATTCCTCAGGGTAGGTGCAACTATCCTCTCATATTCACCATTGTAAGACAAAAAGGGGTCAGGAGAAATGCCTACAGGTGATCATTACAGAGCACTTTGCTTTCAATAAAATTGGTGTTTCACAGTGTTCACACAGAACACTTGAAGTGCCTGCAGTTGTTTTTAAAACACTGTTATCAGTAAAAGCATCTTCGTAAGCAAATGTCAGGAAGCAAATGTCAGGAAGATGCAAGGCTAGGTGAGGGTTTCCCTGTTGGCTCCACTCCACTTCTAAACAAAATCTTCAATGTCACTGATCAGAAATCTTCAGATTAAGTAAGAGGAATAAAAAGTGATCTTTAAAAGTATGTTGCTTATCACTTTCAAATCCATCAGTCTAGGGTTGTGCAACAATGAAACTTCTAAACTGTTGCATGTGTTTGTTCTAGTTGAGAATTATGGAAGTTATCCATATCACCTGGGTCAGTTACACAATTAAGAATTAAATCAACAATCAGTTAGTTATAAGACTCAATGTCTGATAGTTGGCCAATCCTACCCAGGGCTCAAAGCAACAGTGATCTGGTCACCTCTTTCTCTTTTAAACATTTCATGAATCTTGTTTGTTAATTGCAAGGTAAAATCTGCTTCTGTTTCCATTCACACACAAATGCATTTAAATGTGTTATTTTTTTTCCAAAGGCTTTTTTCCGAAGGCTTTATTCTCTATATAAAAAAAGGTCAGAAATGACACTAAAAGTAAACCTTATGGCAAACTAATTACTGAATTGATTGTTAATGGCTTGATTGCAGACTTTCTTACTGTATGTTCTTACTTGTTATTGATTCCCTCCCTGTACTGTTAGTGAAGACTTCAATTAGTTTTTCTCCTGCTTTTTGTAAACAAATCAAAGAGTGGACTAGAAAGCCCAGTGTACACACAAAGGCATGTTAAACTTACACTTATGTTAAATTAATAGCTATAGTGATGTTTATGTTAAATTATCACTTTCTTTATTAAAATCCTGGAGAGTTTTTTTTTTGCAACAATGGAGCTTAAATTGACTCAGTACTGAAAGTGCCACCACTATATTGTAGAAGTCTATTTGAAGCATAGCCTGATGAGGTTGTATAGGCAGTTTTGGATTCTGTACTTCTGCAGTGGCAGTAAAATCAGCAGCTTCAAGCCACAGCTTGTACATCAAAATTCTGCTGTGCATTTGGAAATGGCACTCTTACACACTTGTTTTACATTGCCTTGAATGACTCCTAATGTTTTATTAATAAAGTGCTGTTCTAAGATGACACACCAAGGTAATAAGATATAACGCCGCCAGCAGAAGCTGTTAAAATTACTTTCCTTGTGTGACAGAAACCATGGCTGGCCCTGGCGTGCCCTTTCTCTGTTCAAAACTCAGTTTCAGCTTCTCTATATCCTGTAACACAAGTTTGCATTCCTCCAACCTTATGAGAATGACTTTCCATTACTACCCCTGCAATTAATCTGGTTAGAATTACTAGCGAACAAAGGAGCAAGGAAAAGCATGGTTTATCTTGTGTCATTAAATAAAATCATTTAAAAATAATTTGTAACTGTAAATTTATAATTTCTAACTTTTTTTATTTACTATTACATTTTGTATATTTTCATATGAAGTGTGAGCTACTCCTCCAACCATTTGGAAGGATGTCAAAAGGGAAGGAAGAGAGGCAGGGAAGTAATGAATGGTTGCACTAATGTAAGTTTGGGATTGTTAGCCAATCAAAAAAGGCCCTAGGTGCCTTTTTGCACATCTGGTGGCAGGATAACAAAGAATAGCACTAGTCAGAGCTTTTTTTAAAGAGTATGTAGCAAGCAGGGCTTTGAAGAATATAGCTTTATAAATTACATATTGCTGATATGTTTCTGTAGTTTCTCTTTTATTTTTCACTGTTTATTCATTCTCTTTATTTATGCAGTTCCCTGCACTCATTTTAAAGATGCCAGTTTACATTGCAGACTGTTTGACATCACCAGATACAGGCTTCTAAAGCAATTGGGAGATGGGTTTCTCCATCATCTGCAAGGGATGTCAGAGAAACACAAATGTCAAAGACATACAGGACCCCTTCAGCAATGTAGGCTGATTTTTTTAATTGTAAATTTAATTGAATTTAACAAGTTAAATCTTGTTACAACGTCAAATGACATTTATCATACATGCAGAATGTTATATACATTTAGCAAGAACTTTCATTATAAACACAAGATGTGTAAAAGGAACGTCTACAACATTTCATCAAACACTCCTGATATGGATCTATAAATGTGAGGAGCGCAAAAAAGGTCAACATGAAGTATGGGATAAATAAAGGAAAGTTATTTTAGGAGTACACAAAGCATCGGTTAGACCTCTTTTTGAATGTTGTGTACAATTTTGGTTGCCATATTAAAAAAGGACACTGCTGTGCTGTGATCAATTCAAAGAAAGGGAACAGCAATATTACAGCCTTGTTGTCTGATCATGTCAAATTTTAAAAGCTAAGCAAGGATGGGCCTGGTCACTGCAGATATGAGAGAACACTAAGGGCAACCAGATTGCTATTCTAAGTGATGTTACTATACCAGTCCAACACTCTTGCCTCTGGTCAAGATTTCCCAAACCCTCAGTGTGTTCCAGTATGGTGACAGAGCACATTGTGCTGCACTTTAGATAGAACATTAGACTGAGCATCTAACTCCTAGATCATCATAGATACCTTGATACTGTTTGCAGTGCTAAGGAACCTGGTGTTCTGGTCAATTTCCATACCAGGCTTGTTCATTTAGGGCTTACCTAATTCCTCCCTTACTTCACTCGGCAAAGTATAACGTGGCTTCTGGTGTAGAATGGTAAATGCTGAAGAAGAGGGAGATACTGCATTTCATTGATGGATGAAGTGGATTCTTTCCTGTATGTAAAGCTTCTTTGGATTAAAAACACTATGTAAACATATCTTCCCATTTTCTAACTGCTTCATCCAATTCTGGGTCACAGGAGAGTCTAACCCTATCTTGGCAGGCAAAAGGCTGAGGGCATTCTGGATGCAATGCCAGTCCTTGGCAGAGCACACACAGACACACACCAGGGCCAATTATACCAAGTAAAACTTTACAGTTTTTTAACTTTTTTTAAAGTAACCTACCAGCATCTCTTTGCACGTACAGGTGGATAGCACCAAGGCATGGAACCAAACCCAGGGCCTCAGCACTACAGAGTAGCACTGCTAACCACTGCACCACCATGTCACCCTATACAAACACAAATTAGCAGTAGCATGTAGCAGCAGTGGTGTAGGGTTAATCCTTTACCTTAAAGAAACGTCATATATAGACCTTTTCTCCTAAGCTTTACGCAAAGGACTCTAAAGGAGCACTCTATACAAGCATCAAGTATTATTCGAGTGGAAATGTCAAATTAGGAGGCACTTTTCCTGTGAACAAAGATTCATTGGATTCTTTCAAAGATTCCTTCAGACCCTTTACACAATAGATGGATAATATCTGGATGAATATGATACAAGCAACTCAAGGAGCAAAAGCGACTGTTCTGTCATTTGTAACTTTTCTGTTGCTGTCATACATTTTCAAAACTTAGTAAAATTTAACTAATTAAAACACAATTCACAATAGTTATTGTAAATTCAAGAAACATGTTAGTTTAACTGTAGTAGTAAGAATTTGCATCACAGAATGACATTTGTGATCCTGAATCCTACTGCTGTGAAGAGTAATAGATGCTACCTATTCCCTGAATAAGAGAACACATTCAACTAATTTAATATTTGGATTTAGGAAAAAAAAATATAAGAGCTGAAATGGAATATACCTATATGGAAATTTATGTTACACAAAAACAAGAATAATTGATACCCTAACAATTCTTTATAAATGTGAATTTGAATTTTTGAGAATAGTGCCCAGGAGTTTTTCAAAGTTAGTGATGAAAAAATAATAATCTTTAAAATGTGTTTATAATGAGAAGGAGAGACACGTAACAGTATTCTCATAAAATAATAGAGGGAAGCTTTATTATTTTTTATAATTAACCTCAAACCAGCCTCAGGTCTGTTATTCATCTTTTTAAGATCTTCATATTTTTCCAATAAAGAACAAATTACCAGCTCCTGTTCTTTAATGAAAAGATGACACGATTCTCTTTAAAACAAAGTAGAAACTATCCAGTAGTTCATTATAACACAAACAAGCAATACAATGAGAATGTTTTAGTTGTACTTGAAACGTTGAAATTAGGATGAAAAACAAACAACAGGGAGCAAAGAAATGCAAGGCCATCTGATTTTAAATGAAGTGTTAAAAGAACAACATTTGGATGATACCAAGAGCAAATTAGGAGCATAAGTAATCAGCAGAACCCAAAAAAGCAGGACTGCAATACCGTGCAAGATCAGATAATTCGTTTTCAAAGCTTAATTTAACCTTCGTTCTTTAGAGACAGGGAAAAAGTACTAAATATAAAAACTGTGAGGTAGATTTTCACAAAGATTTTGACTTATTTTTCTGAAGTCTTAATTTGAAAGATCTCTCATTTAATGTGCCAAAAAGCCAAACATTTCACCTGTGGCACACATTTTACTTAAAAATATTGTGAGGTTTTTAGACAGTCTGAATACAGAAAGAAAGTAAATACATAGGAAGTAAAATATAAGAATATATATATTATATATATACAAATATAAAATATAAATATAACAAAGTAAAATATAAACTATACATAAGTTTGTAGGATGCATAGTCCTAGATAGAAACTTTTTGCATTATCTGCTGTTGTGATTTGCTGTTGATGTTCTGAACGTCTACCTTTTTTGCTTATTCTTCATGGGGAATTACTCCAGGTTTAATAAGAACTATAATCTTCAAGTCGTGCATTACATTTTCGATTGGATTTAAGTCAGGACTTAAACTTCCCAGTCCCTGCTAAAGAGAAATATCTCCATGGCATGCTTGAGAATTGGAATGGTGCTGACTGGGCTATGTGCTGTGTTGGAATGCAGATGTAACACTTTACATTTAGATCAAAATTCAGTCTTTGTTTCGCCTGGCTATAAAACACTCAGCTAGGAGTCTGCAGTGTATCTCATAACAGATTTAAGATAAGTCATTTCCAGTAATGGCCTCTTTCTTGTCACATACGCAGGCCAAGTTGGATATTGTTCAGTGCATGAAAACTGAATCCCATCTCAAATACAGAACTTTGTGAATCTTTCGTGTGACACCCCAAACCTGCCTGGCCAGGTTTTTTTTTGTGGAATACCTGATCTGGTTAGTGTCTGGATAGTATAATGCATCCTTCGCTTCTCAACGATGGACATCACTGTGTCTTTAAAATATGTAGTATCCGCTCTGTGCCTCTCTCCTATTTTAGCCCTAAGTTGTTTCAAAATTCATAGCTGCTTTTTTGGACCATTATCAATCAATCAATCAAAGTTTATTAATCAAATGCAGAGCATTACAGCATGCAGCAGTAGTTGCTGGCGATTAAATGTATTTTCTACTAGCTCACCGGGGGGGTTACATTTAATTAAGGTTTCAAAATAAGGTTACATAATAATAGAAAATAATGCAATAGAAATTGAATAAAATAAACTCAGACAAAACTCAATATAAATAAAGCTGCTATGTGTCCAGGGTGTATGCAGTATATTATGTCCAAGTAGTGCAGTATGCTGAATACAATGAAAACTGTATGTCCATGTAGCTATTACAGGTGATTTGCTGAAGGATCTGCGGGTTTAGCTGTCTTATTGCCTGGAGGTAGAAGCTGTTCTGTAATCTGTTGGACTTGACCAAATGCTACTGTACCATTCACCGGACGGTAGGAGAGAAAACAGTTTTTGACTGGGATGACTGGGACCCTTGAGAATGGACCTGGACTTCTTAAGACATCTAGCTGAGTAGATATCCTGGATGTTTGGTCTTGTAGCTCACAGCCGCTAATGAGCTGCGCTGACTTCACCACCCTCTGCAGTACTTTGCGATCCCGGGTGGAGCAGTTCCCATACTAGTCAAGATACTCTCAACAGACTCTTCACCATCTGTGATCAGGCCGATGACTGTTGTATCGTCCACAAACTTAATGATGGAAATTGAGTTATGCCTGGCGACACAATCATGGGTAAATAAGGAGTAGAGGACAGGGCTAAGCAAACAGCCTTGAGGGGCTCTAGTGTTATTGTCAGGGTAGAGGATATGTTGGTGCCCACCCTCACCACCGGACGTTCCGTCAAGAAGTCCAGGATCCAGTTATAATTGGAGGTGTTCAGTCCCAAGTCCTGGAGCTTGATGACAAGCTTTGAGGGCACTATGGTATTGAATGCTGAGCTGTAATCAACAAAAAGCATTCCCACATATGTTCCTTTCTTATCCAGGTGTGAGAGGGCAGTATGGAGGGAAGTGGCTATAGCATCCTCTGTTGACCTGTTCTGGCGATACGCAAATTGCCATGGGTCTAGGGTGTCAGGCAGTGAGGAGGTGATGTATGCTTTGACCAACTGCTCAAAGCACTTCATGATTGATGTGAGTGCAACGGGGCGGTAGTCATTCAGACAACTGACTCTGAGTTTCTTAGGAACTTGAAATTTATTAACTTGAACTTGAACTTTACTGCCATATGTAACCGGTACATGTACTGGTACAATGGAATTCTTACTTACAGAAAGTCTCTCGATTGTTAAAACAAGTGTAAAAACACAAAGTGCAGACAGTGCATCAAGACAATATACAAACAAACAGTAGACAATGTACAAGTAAACAAGTAAACAGTTTGAATGTAAACAATACAGATGTGTAAACAAAAACTGGTGATGTGCAATAAATAAGAAATCATAAAGAGGTAGATGGTGATGGTGTAGGTGTGGTCTGAGGGGGATGGCTTAATGCGTTCTCCAATCACACTGCTTGTGGATAGAAGCTATTGAAGAATCTAGTGGTAAGTGTCCGTATGCTCTTATATCTTTTGCCTGAGGGCAGTGGGGTGAAGAGCTCATGCCCGGGGTGGTGACTGTCCTCTGTGATGGCCAGAATTCTACCACGACATCGGTCCGCATAGAGCTGTTTAATCTCGGTGAGACCACAGACGATGATCTTCTGGGCCATATTGAACATTCTCTGCAGTGCCTTTCTTTCTCGAGAAGAGGTGTTGCCGTACCACACGGTGATCCCGTTGGTGAGGATGCTCTGGATGGTGCAGTGGTAGAACTTCACCAACACAGGTACTGGCATCCCCCATCGCTTGAGGCACCTCAAGAAATAAAGGCGCTGCTGAGCCCTTTTCATGATAGAGTCAGTGTTCACAGTCCAGGTTAGATCTTTAGAGATGTGAATTCCCAAAAACCTAAAGCTGGTGACTGTTTCCACTTCCATTCCATCAATAATGAGTCCAAGGTTGTACTCCCTGTTCACTCACGACTGCACAGCAAGACACAGCAACATTCACATCATTAAGTTTACGGATGACACCACTATAATAGGACTGATCAGTGATGATGACGAGTCCACTTACAGGGATGAAGTCGTACAGCTGCTTAGGTGGTGTCATAGCAATAACCTCGACTTGAATGTAAATAAGTTAATAGTGGAATTTTGGAGACACAGGCCACACACTCACAGCCCACTCAGTATTGATGGAACGGAAGTGGAACAGGGACAATGGTGGGTTTCTTAAAGCAGGAAGGAACTATAGACTGAGCTAGAGAAAGATTGAATACTGTATGTCCGAGAAGACGTCTGCCAGCTGGTCTGCACATGCCTTCAGAACATGGCCAAGGATAGCATCTGGGCCAGCGGTCTTGCGTGGATTGGTCTTTTTAAAAACTTTACACACATCTGCTCTGGATATGATCAGTAGGTTTCCGTGTTGGATTTCTGGAATCAAGACGGAAAGTTAAAACTTTGAATGTCTTTATGAACCTGAAATGATCTACAAGTTAAATCACATTAATTACACAGGTGAAAACCTTTTTTATTAATTTTTTGTCTTTTCAATCATTAGTTTACGCTTGAGACGATTTAAGGCTATAGTAGCAAAGGGTTAAATACTTATGAAACTGAGAATATCTGTTTTCATAATGCCTAATATTATGTTCCGATTATTTAAATTCTGTGTATGTTTGTAATTTCTGTATAAATATAATTATAGTGTCATTTATAAGTCAGTTCTTATACTATATGTAAATATACATATACTGTATGTCTCATCCATGTTGTATAGTAGTCTGAGGTGACAACAAAATGTGAAAACGTTGCAGAGTGAATGCTTCTGCCAATCACTGAAAATGATTAAGTATAGAACTACATTTGAGGATACATTGACATGCATTTTAGCCATTTAGTTTTCCACATATGCATTTATTTACATTTCCAGATATTTGTTTAGACATATGAATATTTTAGAAAGAAAACGACAGTATTTTCCACCTACACATGCATTTTTTTGTTTTACTTTAATTTATAAATGTCTATATGTGATCGTGTATTTTCTAGTTTGTCTCAATGTTATTTTTTTAGTTACAGCACAGTATCTCAGCAATGATTTTAATCCCACCATTTTTAAACTGTGGCCTTATGTTTCCCACAGAGACACGATGGTCAGTTCACCATTATCCAGCTCGTTGGCATCCTGCGTGGCATCGCGGCTGGCATGAAGTACCTTTCTGACCTGGGCTACATTCACAGAGACTTGGCTGCCCGTAACATCCTGGTCAACAGCAACCTGGTCTGTAAGGTCTCTGACTTTGGCCTGTCAAGGGTCTTGGAGGATGACCCTGAGGCTGCCTACACCACCAGTGTGAGTTTATCTTCTTGTCCACTCGGCTTTTACAACTCCATCAGCGTGTACTGCAGGCGAGCCCAGTTAAAATCACAGGAGGGAGGACACAGGACACCCCAGAGTGTCAGGACTGTCAACATCCTTTTGGATTTCCATTTATGTATTTTTAATTGCATTTCATAAGATATATTAAAGTCCCATAATTTACCTACAAATGTTAGATGTAAGAGATTTAATAAAAATTAGGATAGACTATAGAATGAACAATTACACACTTCTGAGCAATTGAGCGTAGCCAAGGACTGGCTTTAAGACCTGAGTTACAGGAACACTGATTAAACGTCTTACTCCTCCAGTTTAAGGCTGTGCCTTTGTGTTCTGCTCCAGAATGTGTTACTTAAGGAAAAAAATGAAACAAGTCATTATAACTGTTATTAATAAAAATAAGAAAAACTATTCTTTACTTCCTTTTTTTATTTTACATTCATATCTTATGTCCCTTTTGCAAAATATTGTGATTTGCACTTAGAAAACAAAGGCAGGAATATAAATGACACTAAAGATTATACTTAAATCTCTCAACAGCAATGCTGAAATGTAAGCCTTATGGCCTTATGGATAAATGATGAATGTATCTCTGTCATCATTCAAAAGTGCACAGATCTTTCATTTTCTAACCCCGAAGCAATATTTTACAAATGCAACCCAATCTAAAACTGGATTCATACAGAAATACTGATATTGCTTTTTTGGAGGGGTGGGGCAGCAATAACATGTTTAATGTGAAGTGAAAGGAGAAATACTGTATTGTTCAGATTTCCGAGTTCTTGTTGGTCTTGTAATTCAGGTATAATGAAAAAACTGACACTGATTTTATAACCCGTATTTTGATAGTGAGATTTATTTAAACAACTGCAATACCAAGACTAAGAATACTTTGTGGTGTATGCTGCACATTGGTGGTGGTGGAGGGGAGTCCCCATTACTTGTAAAGCGCTTTGAGTGGAGTGTCCAGAAAAGCGCTATATAAGTGTAAGCAATTATTATTATTATTATTATTATTATTACTTTGGCGGCATGATGGCGAAGTGGTTCGCAATGATTATGCTCTGACTCTTCCTGTGGACCTGTATTAGAAGAAGCAGTTAGAAAAAGTATTATTAGCATTATTAATATGAATAATTATAATAATAATAGGATGACTGTAAATAGACATATAAATTTGTCCTTCCAGGGGGGCAAGATCCCAATTCGCTGGACTGCCCCAGAGGCCATAGCCTACCGGAAATTCTCCTCTGCCAGTGACGTCTGGAGCTATGGAGTAGTCATGTGGGAGATCATGTCCTATGGCGAGAGGCCGTACTGGAACCTGACCAACAGAGATGTGCGTATTGTTGGTCCTCTGCCTATTCTGGTGCTGCACATCACATTTTTCAGCTCTGATCACCGCTTCTTGCTTTTTCTTGGCTGGATCCATGCTTTGTATTGAGCTTTTAACTATTTTAACTATAACTATTTCAAATATTCTGTCTCTATCTGCTGTAGCTTTCAACTCTAAGACTACTGCACCAGACTACTGTACCTGCCCTGCTTCTCTGCAGGTTTGCTACATTTTATATACTGGTCTGAATTTCACCAGTATGATATTCTGATTAAATACTGTGTAGCTACAGTAAGTCACAAAGGCAGCCAGAGATGTCAGAACAGAAGAAAAGCATGGGAATACCTTAGGCATCAAAATTCTGCTGATTCATTGTGCATATCAGCTTGAATTACAGTCAAAAAGAATCGTGGAAAAGAGCTGTAGGTTTTCTGTTTGCTAAGCACATCAAAAGAAGGGTCTTTCCTTCAATCTTCAGCTTTTAGGAGCTGCTGAACTAATTATATATGTTCAGCAGAAAACCTAAGATGGCTCACAGTAGTCAGCAAAAGGGAGTCTAGTAGTTCTTAATGTTTTTGTGTTTGTTTGTTTGGTTTGTTGTTTTTGGGTTTCTGCTAATACACCATCCTTTCAGGTGATAAAGTCAGTGGAAGAAGGCTACCGGCTGCCTGCCCCAATGGGTTGCCCTGGGGCTCTGCACACACTCATGCTGGACTGCTGGCAGAAAGACCGCAATGAAAGACCCAAGTTCTGCCAAATTGTTGGCGTTCTGGACAAGCTGATTCGAAATCCAGAAAACCTCAAATCACTAGACACTTTGTGCAGGTAAAACCATAGATACATTTGCCCTTTCACTTATTGCTCTTCTTTATTTTTATGGAAAGTTTCTCTGCTGTAGTAGATGTAAATGTGGCATCTCTGTTCCACAATAATTGCTAAAAAAGATAGCTGTGTCAAATCTCCAATTGTATTCTAAGCCATGATTCCTTCACCACTCAAAATATTAACTCTTGGCAACACAGGACATCAACAATAGCATTTCATCTAATATCTTCCAGATTACTGTACTCTGTCAATATTTTAGGTCATACTGGTATATGATTTTTAGAAGCAACTTACAATAGAATGATACTGTTTTGCATTAGAACACAGACATATCTGGTGGGAATCGGATTCTAACCTTCTGTGGTCCCTTTGACAGTAGTGCTTTGTACAGTATTTCTACAGCCTCTTAAAAAAATCTGAATAGACAAGCTGTTCTGAGTCTCATCTGTCTCACCTCTGAAAAGAGACTTCTTTAATGCTTCTCATCCATTTTTTGTCGTTCTAAACAGTAAATAAGGAGCTGCTTACATGCAGGAGGGAGAATACAGTAAATAAATGTAAACATTATACATTAATAAATGTTAATATTATGCTTTAATAAGTGTTTATTAAATAATGAATCACTTTTTGTCTTTATACACAAACAACACATTATAAAGTTTCACACAAAGCTTTCTTGATGCCAAATGAAAGGACTCATGCCATTTGTTTTTGATATCACAACAACAGGAGTCTATTTCTCATTAAAAAAATGCAGCAAGTCACAACTGTAAATTAAGGAATGGAATAAAGTGCTTCACAGACATGGCCTGAAGTCTCATTGCAATGGATAAGACTCACAGTCCTGTGTTTATCTGGATCAGTCTATAAGAAAATCATCACATGCACATTTCTGTACAAACCACTGGGGCTTCAGCAGGAGGTTAGAAAGACATTGAAATTGTCATATAGTCTCAAGAGCAAGTTTAAATTGATAGTGCGGAAACGACATAGCAAAGTTCCCCAAAATTTACATACAGATAAAAGAGAGATGGCTTTCAATGGGTTAAGACAAAACTATGAATTTTCCAATAATTCTCCATAATACATTGGTGTGCTCTGTTAAATAAAAGGGCTTTGGCATTGATCTGCAAAGAATTAAAAGTAAGCTGGAGCTTTTCTAATTGGACTTGTATAAATTGCTCCGTTCAGAGACTAGCATTGCAAAAGTCGCTGATGCATAACTCAAGCCCAGGGTGGCAGGGATTTCTCCTTCCATTAATCTACTCTCCAGCAAACACAGCAATCAGGCCTGCCTCCCTTTCTCTATCATTTTAACTCCTATTGATTTTCTGCCTTCGGTGTAAAGCCTCTTTTCACTCTCATTTTAGGTTAAGCAGCCCTTTGATGAACAGAAGCATCCCTGATTTCAGCAGCTGCAGGACAGTGGATGAGTGGTTAGACACCATTAAAATGGGCCGCTACAAAGACCACTTTGCCGCTGGTGGATATATGACAATGGGTCACATCATGGGAATGAATCTTCAGTAAGTAGCCTTGCTAGGTTGGCCATAATCCATCAAAGCCTTTGCAATGTACTGCCATAGAGAAGAGCTTAAAATGTCACTGGGAAGATCTACAGGCATTAGTCTCCAATTAGGCAGGTGTAAGAAACTGACCTGTAGTTGTCACCTTCTCTCAGCCACTGCAATAGTACGAGCTGTGTACTACAGTCTGAGTGGGTTCGTGCTGACTGCATACCAGTACATACGGTAGCTCTGCAGCAGAACAAAGCCTTGGCACAGTGTGGTACAGGCTCTTCACAGCACAATAACGTCTCCAGTGGAAGTAATCTTCCCAAGGGTAATACTTTACATTGTTTTGGCAGAGGATCCTGATAAATTCCCATGTTTTTTTTTTTCTTGCATCAGTTTAAATCAACTTGTGTGCCATTTTGCAGGTACCCATGGCAAAGAGAACTGCCTAGTGGTTTATCCCTGCAGTACTTGCTGATGTCCAGTGATGGTTTCTGGCTTTTACAACTGTACTGCTTCTATAATTTCTTTTTATAGGCAGAAAGAAACATATTTTACATACCACAGACAATCTGTGCTGTGATAAAAAATAGCTCTGGAACTAGTAAAAGTATATTAAGTTTTGAGGAGCATATATTAATACTGTACATGTGAAGATATGAACACTTCAGTCAATGCAAAATATGTGTTTCTCTATAAAGTCATAAGCCTTTAATTTCCAAAAGGCAATTTAATATTGTTTGAGCCACTGTATATTGTACTATTAGACTAAAGAACTGAAGCCATTTTTCACTAGCTAAGAAGATCCAATTAAGTTAAATAAATATGGTTTCAGTTTCAAAAACTTCAAGTGATAGAAAATTATATTCTATATATATATTTGAGTAATAAATGATGAAGGTTAAGTAAACAGCATTAATTTCCTGTATCAGTGGTTATATGAAAATAAACTCTCCATTACAAAGGAAATGAATGATGAGATAACATCAGACCAAGCATTACTGTCAGTTACTTTTCACAATAGTCCTTGAATTGCATAATCTAGAAAGGAAAATCTGTTTGTGATCAGATTGTCATTCAGATTACCATTCATATTTAAATGGTAGTACATTAACATTCTTAGAATAACAAGGAAAAAAATATCCTTTTCTCTTATGTTCAGTAAGAAAAGAGAAATAGCTAAAAAAGGTTTACTGGAGACATTAAATGTGACGTTATTGAACAGTCTAAAATAAGAATGTTTCAAAAAGACCTTTGAGGAAAATCCAGTGATGCAGCATTAATGTCTACTGACCTAATAAAGTGTATTTCCTTACAATACCCAAAACCACACGCACAAAGGCTCTCAGGCCTTCAAGTGTAAATCACGTGCAATATGGGTACAGGTACTGTACAGGTGTCCCTATGTCCTTCAATGTCACAGTCTTTCTGTTTTTTAGTTAAAATACCCCATTAAGATAACTTCAATGAATTGAAAACGGTAACACATAATATATGTATATACCTATACCTATGTACTGTAAAATTATTAATTCATTGCTTAGTAACTTCACTTTCTGTTCTTCTCTCTGACAACAGAGATATACAGAAGCTTGGAGTAACCTTGATGGGTCATCAAAAGAAGATTATGACCAGTGTTCAACTAATGAGAGCTCAAGTGCTGAACAGGAGTGTGCCCTCAGTGCACGTATAATCGTAGGCTCGGCTCCCGAGGTCAGCCACAACTCGAAACTTCCATTTGTATTTGTGAAACTAACTGAACAACATGAACTTCTGAAATTAAATAAGTATTCTTAGTTACAAGAGGACAGAATTCAATGATAAATGGCTAGAGTTTCCTTTACAACAGACAATGGAGACTCCTGGCTTCTTTTGCGTCATTGTTATTTTTTACAATAAATCAAACTTATCATCCTGTTTATATCCGTGGAACACTGCCTTAACTATCTCCTGGAAACTGGTTCTTTTTTTGTATATGAAGAAGATATGTGGAACAGAACATGAAGTGTATTCAGTAGTGAACATAAAACAAGGTGAGTGAGCTAACAGAATCAGAAGAACCTGCCACACCTAATGGCTCCTGGAGAACTTTTCACCAACAAAGCCTCCATGCAGGAACATTAAATACTACCTGAATCCTCAATTCAGAAAGGACAGCTGTTGTATAATAAGAGAAACTAATTTCAATGTGTTGTCAAAGACCAGAGGGACAAAACCCACATGTGCAGATTGCATTATTATGTCTTGTAAAAGGGTGACGGATATGATTGTACTAGCAATGCAGGCAACAAGAGGGAGGGAAGAACTGTGCTGCTCTCAGTGGACTAAGAGACCAAGACTTGTTGCTGCATTCCTTGACCTTTATTTGGAAGCTACTTAGCGCACAAGAACGTTTAAAAACCTTTGACTTGCTGTGATGTGTTTTGCCTCTGTAGAGCTAAGAAGGGAAACAATGTTGTGAAGTATTTTGTTTTCTTAGAAAAAAAAATCTTAAAGACTAGATGTTCTAAAGTCCCTTGCTTCCATGTGCAAATGAAAATGAATGTGTTTGCCGATACACTTGGTTTTTACATTTTGAGCCCACCATGTGAAAAAAAAACATGGGGTGATTAATGTTTCTTTCCTTTTGTTTCTCCCTTTTATTGCCTGACAAAAATATATATATACTTGCAGGCAAATTGAAAAGATGAGAGCGTAGGAGTATGATTTTTTTAATTAAAGGGTAAAACCAGTAGTTTATAGAAAAATCTAGATGTGTATTTGACAAGATTACTTAATAATAGTTTCAGAACCTTACTGTATAAACAAAATGAAAACAGCAATACCTTGACCAACAGTGCACTGTATAGTGCTTACAAAGATTTAACACTGCCACAACAGCAATCAGATTGCAGATTTTAAGTAAATCAAAATCAGTTTAACATAGAAGTCAATTTTTTCATGTCTAACTGACTTTTTGATTCTTTTAAAGTAAAACAGTGAATTGAATTTTGTATGGGACACTTGCAGTCTTTGGAAATTATTAATTGGTTCAAAGGTCTTGCCAGAATGTTCTTAGAAATCAAGGAGTTATTTTGTTTGAAAAAAATATATTAAACAGAGGAAATAAAATTGCTTCTATAAATATTTTTTGCAAGTGACTTGTGAATTGTACCTTAACTGTTTATGTACTATCATATTTATTTTCTTATAGGACAAAGAGTTGTTTTTTTCATCTTATAATTTTTCAAACCACCTTTAAATGATAATGACATAAAATTAAGACTCTCAAAGCATTGAATTGATTCAAGAGCAAGTAGGGAATAACATACTTCACTCTCTGGTCCTACAAATAGTAATGTGCCTATAATTTATCTTTCCATACTTGTCATCCAGACAAGTTGGCAGTTTTGTACAGTATAGTATATGATGACCACACTCACATTCAAAGTGTCAGCTTGCATTTGTGCAGGAGTGCGTCCTTGAGAATACCTGACACCCCTAGCAGCAGCTACAGACGCAGCGCCACAGTGTCAGCAACTGCAGGTGCTTCCATTTCATCCAAGAGCCTTTGAATGATGTAGTAGAAGGCACACATGCATTCATGAATGCAAGCTGGCATTACAAAACTCAGAGTTAAGTTTGAAACTTCATCTACACTTCATTATATACAGTAATAAAAAAATTACAGATACGCAGTGGCATCACATATCTCGATACATGACACTGTATTTTTTTAAGAACCTCACTACGTGCTCCCCACAATTACACAAATAATTTCATGTATAGTTTATTTATACTATTTATAGTTTTACCGAGACAAGTAACAAATGAAACATTTATATCATGGACCAAAGCACCTCATTTAAGCCTTTTGCTGAGCTCCAATAATGTTTTTTTACAATGTAAACTGTCCTTGTCACTGTCTTATAGTAATGGTTAATATAATTATTAATATAATTACATAGTTACTGCTGATCAACCTGACAGAAGTCTTGTGATACTCAACGGATTTTGATTATTCTGTTACTGTTCACAGGGAGCTGTGGTAGCTCAGATGGCAAGGGCATCTCGCACAGACAGTGCAGTGGTGTGCAGTTTCATTAGTACATTGCTTCTATATCTAATAGTTGAAATCAAATCACTGTCTCAAACCCCTATAGCCAAAACATCTGGAAAAATTTTTTTAAAAGTATGCAAATGCTTAATGATGAGTTTGTTGGTTATTTTGTTGTGCCAGAAATAAGAAAAAATAATTTCCACAGACAAAATTAAAGAGAACTTCTTTGTCTTTAATATCCCAGAGTGGTGTGTCGCTAGAGTGTATTGAAAGTTGAACAACTATCCATTTGCTATCAATGAAAAGATCTGGATATTACATTATTTATTTAGATATTTGCTTTTTGCTGATGTTTTTTGAGCAGCATGCAATTTTGTAAATAATGTGAAGAGTGTACAAGATTTGGACAGAAATGCTGAGGTGTTTTCTGTGAAAAGATCGGTTTAGCAAAAGTTGCACAGATGTTCCGTTATGTTGAGGTGCAAGAGCAGGTAATAACCCCCTTCAGATTTGGAGAAATGTCTTTTCTTCACTGGCCTGCATCAAATGGTAAAAAGCCTTGATTTAACTGCCTACAAATAAGATGTCAAGTTGACAAAACCATCAACAAATTAAATACAGTAGGTAAATTGATCAAACAAAACTAAATCACTGAATGAATTAATAAACAATGTAATAATAAATGTATGTAACTGAATTAACTGGATTTCCTCTAAACACATACTGGGCATACTGTATTAGTGATATCCACCGTATGACTTCACATGGGTCAATAGTTTTGTACTGTATGTACAGTAGCAGTGTGGTTAGCACTCTAGCCTTGTAATTATAAGGCTGTGGGTTCAGATCCCAAGTGGGTCACCACTGTGGAAGGCACTTAGATTACTCCAATGAAATGCATTGCTGTATATATGGGCATAAATGTAAGTCACTTTGGATCTACCAAGATTAATTAATAATAAAATCTTAAGTGCTTTCATTCTGTAAAGCGCTTTGAGAAGCCACCTTTAAAGGCACTTTTTT